CGGGGAAATTTATACTTTGCATGAATTCTCAACTTGTAATGGTTCTTTATGATTAAATAAATAAATAACACCAACCTGATTGCAGGATTAAATAAAATAAGATAAATAAAAAAAAATTTTTTAATAAAAGCTTACTAGGTTTTATTTTTTTAAAACAAAAGTTTTCTAAAAATTAATCGAATTTTTTATATCTTATAATTCAAATCTTGATTGTTTTTTAAAAAAAAGTTGTTTTTTTTTATACAGCATTTTATACTTTAAATATTCTTGAAGTATTTAAAAATTGATATACAGTACAGTATACAGTATATTGATATATACAGTATATTTCATATTAGGAAAAAACATTAGGTCATGTGTAATTGGTGACTTATTTAATTCGCCTCTCAAATGGATTTGTGCACCTAATTCGCGAAAATGTCGGATGTTCTTGCACTGTTTAAGCAAATCACAAACGAAGACTTTTCCACCGGTGCAACCAGTGAACTGCGTCAAATACTCGATTCAGTCGGGCATTTTTCTTTCACTGACGATGACACTGTTGATTTGGGAGACGTTTTAAAGACGTGTTTGGATTTTGTCGGTCGTGATGTCAGTTGCTTTCCGACGATTCACAAGTACATAAATAAAGATCCTAGGATAGCGCGTCTTTTATCGCGTTTTTTGATGATTGTAATATCTGAAGATTTATATCAGTAAATGTTGTTTTACTTGATCGAATCAAATATATAATGTCCAAACTTAACATTGTGCAGGTTAACAAGCAAGAAGGTAAAACCGTGAAGCAAACAAAACAAAGTGAAAGAAATTATAACACAGATCTGAGAAACAGCTCTCACTTGACAAGTAATTCACCGGCTTCCCAGGAAGTCATTATTATTGACAGTGACGACGATAATGGTAGAAATGTTTCTGCCGTAAAACAAGGGAAAAACGGATCGAACAATAATAGTAGGCGACCGAATTTAGGAAATTCCGTAAGCCAAGTTCGAGGTATATCACAGAATGATAAAAGATCAAAAGTTACTGAGCAAATGGACATTGATAAATACGGTGGAACACAACAAATTGATCAGAGTAATTCAGCAAATGGTATCGATTTAATTAATATCAACTATGGATCTAGTTCTAAAGTGAGCAATAGAGAGTATAGAATTGTCAATTTGGTTCGAGAGATGAGTAATGTATCTATCAAATCCACATCAGCCGATAGGACAGTTGATATACCAGAGGGGAAGATCGATGACTATCAAAATAAAACTGATAACAAACGGTCGAAAATTACAGTCTCTGGTGTAGAAGGGGATCGCATGTACATTCCGGTGACCGAACTTCACCGAGATGGTAAATTATTTTATTTATTTTTATAATTAAGTAATCTGTTATGCGGAAAGTTTACATTCTTCCTCCAATTAGAAACGTCCATGCAAATCGATAAAGTGCTACCTTCATCAGATCAGCTATACAGTCAAAGAAAAGTGGAAAAACAAATTAATGTCGGAAATATAGTAATCCAATATTATGTGGCTAGATTGGCAGCGAAAAAATATTGTGACTTTAAAAATGAACCGCTCAGATTCGCCGTTGAACTTTGCGTATCCGAAAAGGTTCTGGGATTACTTTCAAAGTCTCTTCGACTATTTGACATATACGGTAATTTCATTCATCAGGAGAATGCCGAACATACAAAGTTATTTTTTGGTAGATATCACACATATGTTGGTGAAGTCGAGACAGTCAAACTTATCGAACAAATGTTCAGTGGACTCCTAGAAGCGCTGCTAAAAGTTGCCACCGATTATACTTATGGTGTGCAGGAATCGCAAAGTTCACAATCTATTACAGAACAATTTATCTCAAATCATTTCAATATTAATTATACTTTACCGAGTTCGTTAGTTCGATTAAACTTGAGAGGAGTGGCTCCCGAAATATTCATTGGATGGTCGGTTTGTAACCGTAAAACTATTCCCTTGTATTATATCGTCCCTGGTGATTACAAATCTGTTACTGCACAAGTTCGTCTCAGTGAGAGTATATTTGTCGAGAAATCTGGTGAATACTGGAAGAGTGCATTGATCGGTGCATTCTGGAAAGCATACGAAAAGGCTGGATTACCGTATAATATCAAAGATATTAACGATGTCGAAGTCATAAAGTCCGTTATCAAGAAATCTAAGGCACAATGATAGGTTTTTTATGTGATGCAAGTGATTGTTTTAAGGATGTTAGGAACACATCAAAAAAGAACATTTATCAGGTTATATAAGGGAAAGTAAAAAATCCTTGGTTCGTTAGAATTATATCAATGCATGTAAATAAAAACATTGTATAATAAAGTTACATACTAGGAATTCATCTTGTTCGATTTGCGAATCACCCAAAAAAGTTTTAGGTGCTTCTTATATCCTTTTAAAAACGAAACTTTAAATCGTTTGCTTGAATTTTTTCACAAGATACGTAATTTCGTCCATATTCCATTTTCCATAGTTTTCGAGAAACAAAACCAGTTGTGTCACATGATCGTATATTTGGCTTAGAAAGGTGGCGCAGGAACCTTATATATGAGCCACGTAGTTTACAGGTTCGATAATCCTGTAACACTTTCCGAAGTAGTAGATAAACTCGCGCATTTTGTAATGGGCTTATGTATCTATAAATTTTAAGCCTCTATAATCTTTTGTTTTTTTTATACATGCGTATTTTATAACTTGTATCTACCTGAAGAAACGTGTACTTTAGAGATAGAAGCTTAACATATTGAACATTGTTTTAACAACTTTTTATTATGGGCGAATAATTAAACAAGTTAGTGTTCACATAATTACTTTAATAGATTTCTTTTCATGAAACATAATTTTATTATACTTACCTTAATCTATTTATCTCGTCTCGGGGATCATCGAAATCTACTGTTTAGATTGCTGATTTATTTTCATTTACTACATTTACCCCTTCTGAAGGAAACCTCACAGTATTATAAAGCATTAGTTTTCGCATAATCTCAAATAATGACAAGAAATTACCTTTCAAAGTTTTTGCTACAATTCTTTCTCTTCGGCGCGCTGATAATATTTCCACCGCATGTGGTGAATGGATTTTTTTATACGTCGAGATACACGGCAAGTTCACTTTATTCAGTCAGTGGCATAGGACTGGACAACATAGGAGGGACGGTAGTTGCATTCGCAGATCTCAATTCTGATAAATAGTGAGTATTTCTTTATTATGTGGCAATTGCATGTGATCTTTGTGGTAATTCACTAATCTTGGTGTTTCAAAACGATTTTAAATTCAGTACAGACCTAATAGTTCTAAGCGCTGATCAAAAAACAATAAGTTTTTATCTATGGAATCATGGTAATTGTATATTTTAAAATCATTAAAATTGACCGGATGATTTTTATATTCATGGTTCGACTTATTTTCTTACAGATTCATACCTATATTCGAAGGCACCATCGGCAGACATAACGATAACTTCTGATGATACCAATCCGGGGTTCTTAATTACTAATGTCTTGCCGGGCGATTATAATTATGATGGCAATTTAGATCTATTAATTATGGGACAAGTGAACCCAACAGATCAAAATGCGAGGAGTCAGCCACTTTACATGCGAGTCTACATGGGATATTCTAATAGCTCATTTGGTAGAAATTTGGATTCTGAAATTTTCGTCAATTCATTCCCAAATAATTTGTTTAGTCTAACTTTTTACCTCAAACGTCCTATTCAAGATCTTAATTATTACAATATCACAGCATCAACTGTACAACAACCAATTCCATTGGATTTCTATGGAACGATGAAGACTGATTTGCTTGGGCATGCATATGACAATAGTTCGTATATTTCAGTGTGGAAAAATGTGTTTAATGAGACAAGCAGAACTTTATTTGAAGTGTGAATATTTTTCCAGTGTTCTAGTGTTCATGTGGATCAACTTGCAATCCTAAACTGGTAATCAAAACCTTTTTAACAAATCATATCGCATTAGGGTTCCAATGATAACGGCAAATTCTACGGTAAATACAACGGTGTCGAATTGCACATTGTCAGAACCACATTCCAATGCTTTCGTAGACCTCGATGGGGATTGTTTGGCAGGCATGTTGTTTTCATAAGAAACTTTCCAATGGATTATAAGTGTGTTTTACTCCAGTTATTTTAATACTATGATTTTCTTTTTTGTGCAGACCTGTTTTTCACATGCAAGGATAGTTCAAATAAGTTATCATATCAGATATGGATAAACAAAAAGGGTTCATATCAATTTAGCCAATCAGGAGATTTACCTGATGGAACTGGACAGATTTCTTTTGCAGACATGGGTTTGTTTGTTCGTTAAATTTTCATGTTATTATCCTTTTGTATTCTGATTTCCTTACTTAAATTATTATTGTTGTGGACAGATGGTGATGGGACGATAGATATGGTGTTCCCCGTATGTCCGTCAGATGGTTCAAAGTGTACGGTTAATATTGCGTACAACTTACAGATCCCGTTATGCTCGGGTTCAGATACTGGGTGTAGGAGTTCAACGGATTTATGCGTTGCTGATAATAATTTCAAGTTTAATTTGACTTCCACCTCAAGTGATGTAAATATTACTCTGCTATTTGTTTATTTCATTACGCGTAAGAAACTACTCATCATTACTTATACTTAATAGTCTTACCTTGCACTGGATTTAAGCAGCGAGTTACCTGATAACGGAAAAATAAGATTACAGGACACCTCGTTCAAAGGAACTTTACCCATTCCGATTCGAATAGGTGAGTGTTTATTATTTCTCTTTCATCTCTAGATCTGCGTTAGGTATAAACTTTTAAGTTTTTTGTTTTTAGGTGACTACAACCTTGATGGTTATCCAGATCTACTCGTTTCCACCTCATCACAATCATCACACGTATCGCTATTAAAGTCGGTTTTGTGCAAGTCTGAAACTTGCAATACGGCGGCTGAGAAGGCTGGAAGACGTACATTTACAAGAGTCACAGATGGTGCTTCGTCCCTTAATGACATATCAGATGCTGTGTCTGCCACGTTCTATGACCTTGACGAAGACGTATGCTCTTTTAATTAACTCCTTAGCAACTCTAATTTTTCGTAAATTTGACTTTAAAAAATTCCTTAAACCTCGACAGGGAACAGTAGACATTCTTATTCAACGGTTTAATTCCAGTTCTTTAAAAGAAGTTGAACTTATACATAACAATTACTTTAATGATGCATTTTTCCTAAAAGCTGTTAGTAAGTAATAGTTTACAATAATTTCAATTATTTCATTACTAAATAAAATAAATATTTATTTATTTATTTCACATTTTTTAGTGTTGAATGGAGTAGCCAAAAAACAGGTATTTTCAATAATCAATTTAGCTGTTGTGTTTTGCTTATGAATATAAGAATTTCATATTCTAAATTTAGGGATACGGTGTTAGTTATTCGGGTGCGTCATATAAATTTACCGTTCTCGATACATCTGGAACTTCGAGAGCAAATCAAGGTATCTTTTTGAAAATTCGAAATATTTTTTTAGATTCGACAATCCGTAATAATGATATTGTTTTATAGTTGCCCAATATCCTCAGAGCGCGTATCAGGCGTTAATCACACCATATGCAATATTCGGTCTGGGGCGTACCAATAATTACATTGAATTATTTTTTGCGGGATCTACAAGAAATCAGGTATCTACTTTGCTTAACACAATTGCACCCACTGGATTCGATGTTTGTTCTCACTGACGGGATCTTTATACTTTAGAAACTACACTATACGTCATATTCCGGGGTGATACCAAATTCTCAGCTTATTATTATTCCATATCAGCCTCCGGGCACTACTGATACTTCCACGTAAGTGTTAACGTTTTAATCCGATTATGTGGCATCTAAACTTAATTACTTTTTACTTTCAGGTGGTCACTTGAATTATTTATTCACCCTGGAGATTGGGTTCCATTGGTGCTGTTAGTGTTGGCTATTTCAACCCTAGTTTTGGCCATTATCATAGCAATTTTATATTGGATGGAGAAGGTATCATAAAATTTTTATTTTTTTTTTGTCAGATATTTTTAGAATTTTAAATTCATCTAAACTTTGATGATCTTTGAATTTATAGAAAGAGGACAAGGCCAACCTGTTAAAATTCAAACATAATATCAACTTTTAAGTCCTGAAACTTAAGGTAAAACTATTGAGGCATCTTCGCAAAGGGTCTGATACGAGATAGGCTAAGGGTAGTTATTCTTCGTGTTAGTACTATCCTTTGTTTTTTTTATCCAAAACCATGTATGCATTGGTATCAAAAGAAAAAAAAACAATTATAAATGATATTTATTTGTAAATATACTCCGTGTGAATTAGGATTACTTAATTTATGTTATTATTCAATTTTGTAATTAAAGATGCTTCTTTTTTGCCGATAACTTTAATGATTTCCATAGTATAATTAAGCAGGAAGATTTGCAATCTAGTTATTATCCCTGTTTGTAGTCGTAGATAGGTTATGCCAGAAAATAAACTGTTCAATATTGTGATATTAAAAGACTCCAATTTCAAGAATTGATCTTTTTTTTACAATACGGTTTTTTTATATAAGAAATATAAAATAGCTTCATTAATATTATAATAAATTTTTATTTCCCTGTAATCGTTTTAATAAAGTAAAAATTTGGTTTTTTACACATTTATGATTATTTATTGGATAAAAGGTACCAATGCATGGTTTTTATTTGAGTGATTTATATTCAAATACTGTTATATCAAGATTAATTTAAGTTAATCCACTCTAATATCTATAAATTATATTGATATACAAGAGTTGTATCAAGAAAATAAATTTTTATTATTACTTTTAAACCATTTAAATTTAATTATATTATATACGTATAAAGATTTCTATTTTCCAAAATTTGTAAGGCAATCAAATATTTTAATACTTTTTATCTGAATTTTAAAAAAAATAATTTAAAATTAAAAAATTTTTCTTTTCTTAAAATTTCTTAAAATTAAATTGAAGGTTTTTCTTTCCATAATATTTTTATTTTTTATTTATTTAATCAATTAATTAAACTTTGTTTAATATACTTTATTTAATTTATATTTGTATTTTTTTGTATTATGAAAATTACTATTTATAAACCATTCTAATATATATATTAGACTATATTTAATTATTTCCATATTGATTTATTATGATGACCTTAATTTCAAAAATATTAAAGTAAAAATTAACATTAAAACACTATTAATATTGCTATTATATCTTATAGTTCTATTTTTAATAAAAAAAATTGAAAATAATATCTATATTGACAAGTAGAATTTTATAAAAAAAAATTTTTAAATTTATATTAATTATAATTAAATATATTATTTAATTTTTACTTTTTTAAAAATTATTTAAAAATATCAAAAAACTTATTTTTTTTTTAACTTGTTAACTAAATTATATCTAATATGATTTTTATTTAATCAATATAAAATAGTTACAGTACTTTATACAAAAAGATATTTTTAAATTATAATATAGATTTTGAATTTCTTTTTATTATATTTCTTAAATAGTACTAAAGAACTTAAAAGTATAACTTAAGTTTTATATTTAACTTTTTTTAATAAAAAGATATATACTGTATATTATATTATTAAGATTTTAATTTTGTAACACAAATTTAAATTTATAATAAATAAAATAAAATATTATTGTTATCTGCTTTTTAAAAAAAAATAAAAGAATAAATTTTTTTTTGTTTTTAAATTTTTTAAGTTTATAACTTATATA